TTGTGATCAGGTTAACTTTAATAATTTCAACCCGTGGACAGCCTCGGTACTGGACTGAAACATAGACCTGAAAATAATCTTAGACGTGTATGCCTGTGCCTCATACGTGGTCAAGTATGTTAATAAGCACGGAGGAAGGAAAGGTAAGGAGGGGGCATGCCCAGCCGGCGCAGGACGTAAAAAATGTGGTGGAAATGACATCATGGCGACCATATTCACTAGGCACAATGGCGGCGTTGCTATGGTTACGTGTTGCGCAATGGAGCTGGTCTAGCAGTGAGCAGCCGCGGCTGGCGGCGAAATGTGTGCCTCCCCAGGTCTCGTGCTGAGCCGTGGCAGACAATATCTGTGCTCTGCGCCGCATTATTGGTTACGCAGTGTTCTCCTGGCTGTTACATTACTCTTAGCAACGTTTACGAATCCCTTTGTCCATCACGGGGTTTCAACAGTGCGTAGAACAAGTGCATATCCATGTGTCGAGCGGCGGATGGCGCGGATGAAGCAGTTAGTGTTCAGCGAAATTGCGTTGGGCACCACGACGAAGCTGAATGACGACGAACGCCTTGCAGGTCAGTGACGGTTGAGCAGTGCTCCTGCTTCTGACAACGAACGACGCTGTTGAGCCCAGCAAGACGCCATGAGGACTATGTGCACATACGTAGTTTCGTGTTGTGTGCACATGCAAGTAACAACTTGCATGTGCGTATTGAAACACCTTTTCTGTTCCGCTTGGTACACTCTCCACCAGCATTGCATGTAATCTCAACGTAACAGCAACCGCGTTCAACTGTCACTAGCACCGTGCTCAAAGTCACCACGGTCGCAGAATGCTGACGCCGGTGAGTTTCACGCGGAACACGGACACAGTGGCAGGACGCTGCACCGGCCGCGTGGCAGAATGCAACCGTAGAAGGCACACGACCGATCGTGTTGTCTGTACAGTTGCTGAATTAATGACGTGAAAGCACTCCCCGTTGTCAGTGCATCTAGCGCGCGTTCTCTCGTAGTTGCTTCGTTGTCGGCGAGCTGTTACTCCCTGTTATTACTCGGACGAAGCGATTTCGCTGAAGGTGTCCCGCTGGCTCAGAGCCCAGTTCCATGAGCCCAGTTCCATTAGTTTCGGATCGTCACGACACACGCGCTGCGCAGCCCACGTGCCCCTGCACGTGCTTTCCTAGCCAGAGAGGGAGTCGCGCCTTCTGCTTCGCGTTGATATGTAAACAAGAGAGGAGAATTTGCCTAGTCAATATGGCCGACTTCCGGCTTCATCGCGGCTTCACGAGTGGCGTCACGGCTTCTCCTTACTTTCCTTCTTCCGTGTTAATAAGGCATACCGAGGTGTGTCAAACCTGCACTAAGAGTTGCGAACAGTCGTGGACAAATCTCCCGAATCTAGCTTAACCTATACCCAAGCTATCCGACAGCTCAGAGTAAAAATGATGAAAGCAGTCGAGATGTGGGCGCAAGAGGCGGCCTGGTATGTGCTCGACCTTAACGTGTCACACACAATTCATGCCGTAGTCACAGCCAACACCGAGTAGCCAGAGCAGCGAGTCCACATCTCAAAAGTCGGGAATTGATGGATCGTGAAGGGTTAGATGAGACTAGCACGGACGTGTGGTGCAAGACTACCATACAAAAGTACGAAGACCGCCCAGACGATCAAGCTGCATTAATGTATGCCAAACACTTCACGTCATTCAACAACGGCCGAGGGAGAGTGCAGCTTGCAGTTTTTCGCTACCACGCCTACCCACTATTCGACGTGCTCAACTACAAGCGCAAGCACGTGCTCCTGTTCCACCCATTTCGCCGCGATTGCATGTCGGTACTAGAGCTGCCAGTTGTGGCAAGACTTTCATTTTGCGTACAATTATGGCGTGTATAATCACTTCTACTCAAGTGAAAACAGACATGTAAGCATCAACGCCAACGTTACCTGTGTGATCACCAGAAAAAAGCAGCTATTGCAATCGTGGGGGGGGGAGAGGCATTACCTCACACGCCACCTTCAAGCTAGTCATGTCAGGCAAAAATCCAGGCAGGGGACTCAACTCGGGCAACGCAAATTCCTTTTGCTGCGTCTTAAGAGACATCAAGTGAATTGTAATCGATGAGGTTAGCATGATGTCGGTGAACACACTTGTGACGATTGATCACTGACTTCGCACCATCTCTTTAAAATATGCCCTTCAGTGGATTCGACGTCATGTGTAGCAGCCTGAGGCAGCTTCCACCAGTCAGGGCAGCAGAAGTGTACAGGCGCTCTAGATCCCATTAAAGTGTATTCGACTCTGAAGGTATGCCTTGGCACAACCACTCATACTACCAACTCAAACATGTCGCATTTATCGCGGCAGAGTGACGAGCAGTTCACCACAGTATTCACAAAGATTGGAGACACGGGGAAGGAGGGTCTCACTTGGACGAAATGTCTCTCCTGGAAAGACGCTTTGTAACCACCGAAAAGGCCGCTAGGAAGTGTCTTTCCGGAGTGCGCCTCTTCTACACAAACAAAAATGCTGCTGCCTATAACATCACAACTGCCGAAGCCTAGATCGAATACGCAGTCTGCTGCCCTTCTGTGAATACCATTTGTGGCCACAGGTCGCACGAAGGATATAAGCAAGCAAAATCCACAGTCGCCACCATGTCGAAAACAGACATGGCCAACTTGACTCACAACATACTGCTGTGCCTTGGTAAGCCCTACATGGTTATTCGAAACATCGATGTGTCCGATAGTCTCGTCAATGGCAGTATGGGGATGCTAATGCACGTTTAAAGGCGCACCAACAACAAGCCACTACACTTATGGATAGAGTTTGCCACCGGTGTGGGCTCAGCGGCCCTGCTAAAAGGACGACATTACTGGGAAAGCCATCCCAACATTCATGTTAACTGGGTTCCCATCGAACTCATTACCATCGTGTACCATTTAAAGGGAAAAGGACTGAGACACATAACCGTCAGGCGCAAACAATTTCTTATCGTCCAGGCCAGCGCAATCATTATCTATAAGTCTCAGGGAGGCATTTACAATGAGGTGGTTGTCGATTACTCGAAGTCGCAGATCCAAAAACTTGTGTACGTAGCTCTCAGCAGGGTTACCACCATTAATGGGTTATATCTGACGAACAAAGAAAATGACCATCGTTTCAATCACATCAAGGATAACCCTGATCGCACTTTTGCCGACGAATTAACGAGACACAACCAACATTGTCTCCAAACCATCAGCGCTGAGTGCAACCGTATGCTAGCCGCCAACTTCGTCACAGTTGGCTGTGTCAACGTGCATTCCTTGGGTACGCACAATGCAGACATCGCCAGTGATTTCATTTCAACGAATACTACCACGCTGTGCTTCACTGAAAACTGAATTCAAACTACCCACGCGATGTGAATGGGTATCACTGCATCAGCGGTGCGAAACGCTCCGACAACCGTGCTGCTGGTGCGGCCATATACGTCAAACGGAGAGTGCAAGCGGAGGCCGTTTCTCTTGTGTAACAGGTGTACGAGTGTGCAGAAGCTTGTGCTGTATGACTAGGCAGTGTGGTGATTGGGTGCGTACACATCGCACCCAGAACAAGCGTGACGAAAGCTACTGACCTTGTCATAAGAGAGGTGCAGCACTGCATAGGGTCTGAAGCCTTACTTGTTGTCGTAGATTTCAACCAAAATGTTCAGGTGTGCAGAAAATTTCCGGACATCCTACAAACGTGGGCTGGTTTAGAGATGGCAACTTCATCAAATGCCATTTTAACAAACCACAACATTTGCACAGATTTAGCTTTTCATTCTCACGACACCATTAAAGAAGTGAAGTACTACAGTTAAGGCGATGCTTGTTGTAGTTAAGGAGATGCCTGTTACGGTTGGCCAGAAGACGTCTCCAGAAAAACAAGTTGAACAATTGCCAGATAACTAACACGAGACGGACGACGAAATGTGACCATTTAGGAATACAAGTGTCATGTCTACGCGCAGATCATAATACAGGACCATGTGACTATATCACTGTACAATATTTTCATTAAGTTGTTATAAAAGTGCTGTTAGATAGATAAAAAACCTGTACCATTACTATAGATATATCATGCTTGTGCGTGCACACGTTTGTGTTATTAAAATATATTAATAAGTATGCACTTAGCGGTTGAAGGGCGCACTAGGGGCCGCATTTCACTATCCCGCTCAACTCTTAATGGCGAAGCTTAAGGGTCCCCCAATTTTTTAGTAATGTTGCATACTAACCCATCATAGTTATTGCATTGCATGGCCAAACAATCGACACACATAGTGTGGGAGTGAAGAAGATGTGGAAGAGGACGAAGCGAGCACCTGCCAGTTCATTTCTGTTCTCACAACCAAATGAAAAACTTAACAGCTTCACTGCTAACTCAACCATGGCCCGTTTTTTCTGACAAGAAAAACTGCTAGAGAAAGAATACGAGGAAAAAAAAAGGGAACTGAAGTATAGAAAGTTTCACTGAAGCCGACATCATGTAACAGCGAGTGAATAACCCACTGCTTTATGACCAAAGCAGTAACGAATCATAGACTCGCTCTGATCTACCATGCAAGCTTGTAAAGCCTTAAGCAGAGTGAAAGTGCCTTTCTTTGGCCTTGCTGTGGATAGATGGCAGAGAGAGAAAAAGACAGTGAGGTTCACCAGAAGAAGGCTCCGGTTTGCTACTCTGTGCTAGGGAAGGGAGTTGGCAGAATTGCTGACCTTTTGCTACCATCTGGTGTGAAGCAAACCCTATAAAAGCAATTTAATCAATGCCTTTTTCTTTTGTACTCCCAGTTTTTCTGATATCCTTGCCAGTTATATACATAAAAAAGTGCATGCATCTGTACTGCTCTGTATTTTATCTCATCGCACAAGCTTACTGTAGAAATATAGCCCAACTGGGGTTCCTCCGTATTTTCAAGCCCACAAGTCACCAATGGTACAGCAACATAACATAAAAACAATAAAAAATGCACAATACCAGAAGACATACGGGGCTGCACAGGCCTTGGTGGAGTCTCCGGCTGATCCAGTTGGCTAGAATTCATCAGAGGCCCACGATTACGCCCAAACCTGCACAAAATTAATATTGTGTCTTGTCATTATTAGCAGCATCATTAGCAGCAAAAACATGAAATACCATGTTTTTGCAGCACAAAGCCCTCTAACAAAAATATCCAGTTCACACCGCTTTGTGCAAGGTGCTTCATAATATGCTGGCTGGTCGGTTGGTTGGTCGATCAAACTTGATTAGTAGTATACTCAAGGACGGGGTATGTTCATACAAGATGGTTATGAGTACAAGTTAGCGCAACCGACAAACTCATCTATGCAGTTCCTCTTAACTCTTTCAGCTGCCCAACCTGGTGTCTATGAGGCAGAAAGAAACAATCAAAGTGCCTGATGTACCATCAGAAAAACTTGAACTTGCCCCAGCATGCCACAAATATGCTCTGTAGGACCAAAGTTCATGTTTTAACTGAAGCACTTCACTGATGTCCTTTGGTTACCATGAGGCAAGCTTCTTGATCTGCTCTAACACAAAAGCAAGAATGTTGCATAGCGGCTTGGACGTCCTGATGTAAGTCAAGCGTTTCCAATCCTACAGTAAAATGCATTGTAATTTTAAGAGAGCACTCTTTATGTATGCCACCTACAGGTAAAGAGGGCAGCTTTGTCATTATGTCCACTAAAGAATACCTGAAGGAAGCATCCTGTACAGTTTCACCATTTTTTTTACACCCATAATCCCATCTTCGTAAAAAAAAAAAAAACAGAAGTAGAACCTGCTTCATAGATGAAATCTTTACTGCATCCAAAAACGTGTTAAATGCAAGAAGAATTCCTTGAAATGATTAGCGTGAAAATATGCAAAATTTACATGTTGGTTAGGCTCATAGTACCTAGTATCGTAGTATCATAGTATATATCTAGGCTCATAGTATCATAGTATATAAATGATCAATTAAGAGAACATGCGCTGTCAATCAGAAACGGCACGGGTTTGCATCTGCCATATCATTGTAAGGAGTGCTCGTGTGGACCACTATTGCACTGCACAAGAATCTTGCGAAGAAGCCAAGACAAAGTGGCACGTGAATTGACAGAGGCGATGTATATTAAGCAATTTGGTGAACAATGTATCAGTGTTCCGTCCCTGTCATTGTATCATAGTTAATTTGGTTTTTATCTGATAGGTTGTGATTATAAATGTTCGGGCTTTTCGTGTGGTTGTACACATGCGTGAGAGCTTTCATAAGATGAGCTTCGGTTCAATAAAAGTCAGTTGCGAGTATGCGCTTTTCCAAGTCTCTTCTCTCGTCTTCTTTCAAGTTTGTGCCAACGATGTTTTACACAGCTAAAAACCAATTAGCCCGACAGCATATATTACTGAAAATGAGTCCTGGCAAAAATGTATTGCGCTCTACCAGCAGAAAACTTTAAAATACTTGATAGTAAAAGTTCATTTTTGGTGAAAACTTCATGTATAATGCATGAATTCATTTCCTCACGACGGAACAAGAGCTTATTAGTATTTTAGATAGATACCAAAGACCTTGACTAATCTATTCCTCATGATCCTTCATTACAGTGCATTTAAGAAGGTACTGACGAGTTTGGTGCCTCAAATTTTCGGACTGGGTCAGGCGTTAATATTAGTGGGTCTTCAGAAATTCTTAGTTTTACCAACAGTCGAGATACCCTTCAAAAAGCTGGCATATGTATTGCTTTTTGCAGTGCTTTCATCACAGGTGTGCAAGTAGGCTGGCATTTGTATTGCTTTTTGCAGTGCTTCCATCACAGGTGTGCAGGTGGGCTTCAGCGTTTTAAAGCAGCTGAGGGAGCAGGAATAATGCTGTTTTGGAGTCGTTTTGGTTCATAAAAGATTGTGTTTCGAAGCAATGCAAGTTAGCTTTGGAGCAGATGTCTACGTTCAAACATCAATGCTAAATCAAATCTTTACAGTAAAAGCTGTCATGAGATCACAACACAGATCGGTCACGTGCAGGGCTGTGGCTGTCCGTCACCGCTGCCGCCGCTGTTCATAACCAATATTGCACAAAATAAGAAAAAAAACTCAAACATTAAAGAGATGTGGTGACATAGTAAGATTCGAAGCAGGGTCCACTGCATGCCAGCAACCTATTCCACCGCTGAGCCATGCCAGTGCTTGGGACTCATTCGCAAACTTGCCTTAGGCAGGCTTGATTTTCGGAAAGGAATGCGTTAATATGAGTAACAAAGCCTTTTAAAAGAGCAAGAGAACAACCAGGCATCATACAATACGAATCGCATAACAAGTGGGTCGTTCAATGCTCCAACACATTACAAAAACTTATTCTTCATGACCTATTGTGGCACATACCCACTTCAGGAGCAATTCTTCATCGTCATCAGCCACCGAATGCAAAACCACATTCGCACAAATTCCATAGCAAGTCTTGAACGAATACCACGCTTTTCCGAAGAATGATGAAGGACAGCATAGTGAATGCCGGCCTACTATGCAGAAATTATGAATATTTATGGCACAGTTAGGGGTAAAACGGCCAAGTCTAAATTAAGAACAGTTTTTGGAGCAGCAAAATTTCAATTTTGGAGCTGAAGAACCTTGCTTCGGAGCAGTTAGCCACATTTAATATGTTGTCCTGGGAGCTTGAAAGTACAGTTCTTTAGCAACGTGGGGGCACCAGTGCATGCTTTAAAAATTATGATTACTTATAGCATAGTCCGTGGTGAGACAGCAGAGTCTGAATTGGGAGCACTTTTTTGGAGTAGAAAAGCCTTGCTTCGGAGCAGTTAGCCGCTTTTGATATGTTGCCCTGGGAGCTTGAAAATACAATTTTTTAACAACGTGGGGGCACCAGTGCATATTTTAATCAGCTAAAAATACAAATGACACTGAAACAGATTTCAAAGAAAGTTCTTGAACAGATTATCGCCAAGTGTGAACTGCCGTACCTTTTCACATACCATGTGACCTAACTAGCCCTCATAACAAACACACAAAATATTATTTAAAAGAGGTTTCGTTGAAAGCTAGGTTCCCCGGAAACACTTAGAAAGAATAACACATCACACTCAAAAAGTAATTTGAAAATTGTAATGGCGCAATAATCGTAGCTGTGTAACAGTGGCCCTTCGCTTCAAGAAAAGCCCGACATGATAGTGTCAAATTTACGCGAGATTTTGACAAACAACAAAAGCCCACTGCACCGCTGTTCACGGCCACCTCCTGCGGGACCACCTTCAAAATTTCAGCGCGGGAGCCAAGAAACCTCGCCGCACCGACGATCTCTTAAAGCATGTGTGTGGCACTAAGTGATAAGCGAATGATACTGATAACGCCTCTCCACCCGAGCAACGATGCATTATTATTATGGCCCATTTTGGCCTCTTCTATTTGCTTTAATATCACAGGTCATCACTATCGATGTAGAACTTCCAATAATGCACCGACTTGTGATTGCCACCCGCGTCGCGACTCGCGAAAAGGCCTGACCACATGTACCCGTTGCAGCTGCAGCATGTCAGCATGTGGCTTTTTGATGGGGCGACGTGCCCTCTCTCTGTGAAGTGGGCGAGTGGCCAGGCGCGTAGTCAGAAATTTTTTTGCAGAGGGGGCAGGGACCACCTTGACTTTAAAGCCCCTTAAAATGGCAATGTTCAGCTCTCTATGCCATGGCAACAAAAAATTTCAGAGCGGGGGGGGGGGGGGGGGGGGGGGGGGCGTGCCCATTGTACCACCTCCTGGCTACGCTGCGGTCCGCTCTCTCTTTGTAAAAAGAGGGTGCGATGCCGCGTGAGAGCCATGCGCTCATGGGCTGCAACGTTTACGTGTGGTCAGGCCTTAAAACGCTCGCACCACAGGTACGAAATTTGTGTCCACGCAAACGAACTGCCCAACACACACAGGCGTATCATTAAAAAAATTAACTAGAAGTATGCAGTCACACTGCGGAACGGCCGCTGACCGAAACACCGATCGAACATAAAGCTAAGCTAATAGAGCTAAACATTTACAGTTACACGCTCATGGCAAACACGCACGTGTAGGCGACCGCACCCAGCAGCGTTCACATGAAAATTGCAGCTACCAGAGGAACGTGCTACGTATAACAGAGAACCCGGAAGCCAACCCCACTACGCTTGCCACTTGCCTCAGTGGTTTTCGCAAGGTGGCAGTGGCACCAGAACCCACAGCATAGCTTGTAGAAGCAACATGCTCGATGCACAGCAGCACATTTTTGCGGGGTCACACATATTTTTAGTCATGCATATACGTTTAGAGGAGATTATGGCAGCAACATGAGAGCCTTCACCACTAAAATTGTGTAACGTAAAAAACATGCTTGGGCGCATCTTATTTTAGTCAACTTGGCCTTTTCCCTACGCTGAAGCTGAGGTTGACATCAGAATTCTAGTTTTCGAGGCTGCTTAGAACAGATTAGGGCAATTTTTGTGATTTTTATGCTTTTGGAGCAGCTTGGTGTAAAAAAACAGAAATGTATAAAAAATGCGCAATATGTGCAGCTGTCTCACCCCTGCAAAGTGGGTACCAAGCAAGTGTGTATTTAGCATTTACCCAAAAAGTGTTTAGTAAATGCCATGAAAGGCCGCTCTTCATGCTTTCTCTGTGACTGTACGGCACATTCCCTGCAGGTCTGGCAATTTTTTTATTTCTGACACATATAAAAAATTCCAGTGGTTTTTAGTAAACATGGAATGCTGATGAACCAATCAGACTTACTAGAAATTAAGATATAGGATGTTTATGTGCGTGTGTGTTACCGTCTTTAAAATATCACAGCTGAATGAGAAATAACCCAGAGAAAACCAGAGATAAACGACGATTTGCGTAGCTTTTCTAGACTAAGCCTCAGACGAATCAATAACATCAATGTTATTAAAACACCACAGCTGACATGAACAACTGAAGAATAAAAAAGCCGCATTCATCCTTAACCCAAAAAGACTATAAAAATAAAATAAATTGATTAAGGCTTACGCTCGAATGCTTCAATTTCTACAGTCGGCAAGAGAACAGAGAGGAAAATTGAGATAAGCAGTGC